GTAACAAGCACCTTTTGCTTAAAACCAACTAATAGTGGCAAATCTGGGGAAGACAGTAAAGGTAAGGTTTGGGATACAATTCTTCCCACAGCATGTGAGATGGGGGGCAGTGTGAAGTATACACAGATCCACAGTGCTGTACAGTTAAGAGGAGGTTAGGGATGAGTTCTGCATTTTCCAAAAGTTTAAGGGTAACAAGTAAAAGAACAGAATTGTAATGAATAATTTCTAAAGTAGGAAGCAAGAAGGAACAAAGAAAATTAAAAATCTCATCAAGCCAGCAGAAGATGAGAATTAAAAGCGTGCTATTGTTTACTGAAATCCTCTTTTGCATTGGTTAGGGTAGGTTCTCATGTTGTCATGAGGAATGAGGCAAGAGTGAGAAATGGAGTGCTTATTCACAGATGACAACTGTCCATATCCAAAGAAGCTATGAACAGGATGCTGGAACAAATTAGAGCCCATAAGCCTTCTGGATCCCAGAAGACATACAGAAAGGAAGAACATTCCTCAAGTCAGACATGGAGCAGAAAATTATTTTTAAAAAGATGACATTCACAATAGCCACCAAATTATCAGGCATGCAGTTTATCAGGGATAAACTTAGTGAAGGTTGTATAATAAGAAATTATGAAAGTGTGATGATAGGCATCAATGGTGGTGCAGAGAAATGGAGAAATAGATGAGACTGATGTTAGAAGGGGTGCCGTTCTCTCCCATTAATCTAGAAATCCAATTTGATTTCAATCAGTATCTTATCAAGGTTTTCTACAGAGATAGAAACACTGATTCTAACACATATAGGAAAGAGCTAATGGCCAGGAATAACAGGAATTGTTGAAGAGGAAGAATAAAGTGGTAGTGGGGATTCTAGGATATGAAGAATAGGTTAGGGAGCTAAGCTGAAACAGGTGTCCTCAGAGAGCTGGACATGGGCAGAAGTGGTTCCTGTTCACCCAAAGGACACTTGGACTCACGCAGTGGCTGTTGCCCCTGTCACTCAGTTCCACAAGTGACAGCAAGAACTGTCCCATTCCTATATTGGCCTTCTCCTTCCAGAGGTCCTGGCCACATCCAGCTGCCTGGGGACGTCAAACACTGGCAGGAGCCCAGGCGGGGTGCTCTGGTTCCCTGTTGGCCTCAGTTCAGGCCCACCTGAATGCTGGAACACAAACTCATACTAACTTAGTTAATTCTGTAAAATATTAGCATCTTGACTTAGTCATTTTTGTTAAGTAGTAAGCAATACATAAAGAGATGCAACCACACTATTCCTCTTCCAGGCCCTCAGCTCTGGCACCAGTCCCTGAGGCTTCTCCCCATGAACATAGAGAAGTACATATGTAAATGGTGAAAGGGCTGGTTCCTTGCACTTATCTGTGCCTGCAGCATGGGCCAGCCCAGCCCTGGGGCCAGCCCAGCCCTGAGGCCAGCAGGTACCTTGGCCTCAGGAGTGACTCCCAGGAGTCCAACAGCATACCCTGGTCAACCCAGACCACCTTCTGGGCACTGCCTGCCACCCCCCGGCATAGTACACATGGTGTACCTGCAGCTATGGAATTCCCATTTCCAAGCTTTAGCCCAGGGCACATGGGCCCATCTTCACCCAACACCCATGACTTGACCTAGACACCAAACTAAGTGATTATTCTAATGTGAGCTATTTCCCCTGAAACACCTTCACTGAAACAGGTCCAGAGAGCAGACTCCTGCAGGCACAAAGGAGACAGAATTGACCTGCTGCTTCCAGATGCTGACAGGCCCAGTGGGACATGTATGCAATGGCACATCCACAGCCACATACACGCACATTTACATATACACAACAAAAACACATGCACACACATGTGCACACATATGCACACAGTGCTCTACTAGGCACACACTGGTGCATACATGCACACACAGATATATATAGTGTTCTGGCTCTCACACACACATACACACATGCCATACACATCCCCACACATGCACATACATTCCAGCTCACCTAATACAACTCAGATCTATGTTCTCACATCAGTTCTACAGACCTTCACTGATCACCTATCAATGTACTGTACCTTCCTCTTACGTAATTGCTAAATCTATATATGGTAAAATTAACTTTTTGAGGGGTATACCAGAAGTTGGACCAAGGGTCTTGTGCTTGCTAGGTAAGTGCTTTACCACTGAGCTACATCTCTAGCCTTTTTTGTTTTATTTTGAGACAGGGTCTTACTATATTGCCAAACCAGCTCAGAACTTGTGATCCTTCTGCCTCAGCCACCTGAACAACTAGGATTATAGGTATATACCACCATATGCTATGAAATTCACTCTTTGTGGTGTACAATTCTATGGGTAAAAGTTCCAAATCCCAGTAACCATCATAATTCTCCCACTGTCCAATAACTCAGGTTGAAAGTATCTTCAGTGCTGTACACTGGCTTTACTTAAGAAAGTGAATTGATGAGTGGTTGAATAAAATGGTGGATAAGTAAAAATAGAAAGGATGGAAGAGCATATGGATGAGTCAGATAAGTGGGTGACTGGTTGGAGGAGGGGGGATGTTAGAGGGATCGGTAGATGGTCTGATGGGTGAGTGGAGGGATAGAAATAGGATGAATGGACTGATGGATAATGAATGGGTAAATACGGGTGTGTGAGTGGACGTATTACAGTGACTCAGTGGTCTCTTCTGGAGTATCATTTTGGACCCAGACACATTTGACTCCCTATTGACAATAATTAGGTAGGACAAATGTACATGTGTATGCAGGAATATTTGTCCACCACCATCCATCGCTTCAAAAATCTGGAAACCAATAAATGTCTGTCCACAGAGAAGGGCTTAAGTAAATGAACCCCAAACTAATACAACTGAATAGAGTGCACTGCTAAAAGTGGTGTATTTCACTTAGGTGTAGAGGTGAACACCGGTAAGCCCAGCTACCTGGGATCATGAGGCAGGGTAATCACAAGTTCAAGGCAAGCCAGGGAAACAGTGAAACCTTGTTTCAAGATAAAAATAAAAAATCTGCGGAGCTCAGTGGTATAGTGCCCTTGTGTTTTCTTTCCTAAGGAAAAAAAAAACAGTGCATTTCATTCACTTCACATATATATTTTATCTGGCAGGAACTTAAATGTAGCCATCAAAATACTCTTGGAAAATCATCTCTCTGCCCAGGAGGGGGCAGTGGTGACACCTGGTGGGGAACAGCACATAAGTGCCAGCGGTAGAAGTGAAGCTGAGCAGGTTTGATATGGTAACCAAGGCTAGATTCTTCCCTAGGATTCCCAGAAAGAGGAGGAAGGACTTCGTTGCCTCGCAGGAGTGCTATGTCCAACCAGAGACTCTGGTATTTTCGTGCAAGCCAGGCTGGGTTACTGTGGGGATGCAGGAGAAACAAGATCACGGATGATGCCTCCCAGCTTCTAGCAAGCACAGGCCCTCTCATCCTCTGTCCTGAGATGCTGGTGCATGACTGGTTCATCTGCACAGCCTTTCTTACAACATCTTCCCTCTTACAACACTGGCCCTGGGTAGCCACAACCTTCACCTAACGGTGTCCATGACCCATTATCATTGGCCAGTCTCCTGGTCCTAATCCTAATGGTTGCATGACCTGTTCATACAGCCTGGGTTCTCTCTCTGATCCTATCACTGAAGGTGCTCATGGTGGCCTGATCTGGACCCTATCCATGTGGTCAGGTATCCTGTTGCCAGGACTCATTGCTTAACAACCCCAACCAAAACCACCGATGAGGGGCCTCAGGTTGATCCCGCCCAGATTAGGGACCCAAGGCTCCACCATGGTTACAGAAAGCAGCACACAGAGTGCCTCACAGAGATACTCTTCCTGCCACTTACTAGGCTGTGGCAGCTGACTCAGGAGGCAATGAAGAGTGCGTCCCTGACCTCCTCACTTCCTTTGTCTACTCCTGTCTGGAAGCGTTTGGGCATCCCCGAAGCTGCTCCAACACAGCCTCCTCCTGTCTCGCTTTTCCTCCAGGCTGGGAACCAGGCTGTCTCTCATGGCCACAGGGCTCAGCCTCCCTGCAGTATCACAGCCTGGGGTCCTGCCAGGTGCAGACTCATGCCACTGAATTCCGGTGCTGGAGCCCCTGGAATCTTTGGTTTCACTCTGTCCCTCAGTGTCTGTGTGGGAAATATCTTAGACTCCCCTCCAGCTACCCAACCTGCTATAAGGTCCCTAGAGCCAGACTGCTGCTGAGGGGAAAAGAGAAGTGTGCAGCTTGGGCAGGAACAGGAGTAGTGTCAGCTGAGGCACTGTGGGGATCCCAGGGCCCAAGTGTTACTCACCTATGACACGGGATACATCAGGGTTAGTAAGAGTGGCCACAGGCCTGGACAGTGAGTGTTCCTGTCCTGTGCTGTGCTCCTTCCCAACTGTTTCCCACATGGGTAGTGAGGTCGGTTGTCAGCTCCCTGAAGCACTCTGCAGTCCTTGCGACCTCAAAAATGTCTCTCCCGGAAATGTGCTTAGGCACAGTGCTCAGGGGCTGCATGGCGTGCAGTTCGGGAAGGTGGAGGCCCAGCAGGGGACCCTGGTGTAATGCTCCTCCATGAGGTGAATACCACAGCCACATGCTCCTGGTCTGGGGTATTATTTCCCCTGGTACTGAGTATCACTTGCTCATCTGTGTGTGTGTGTGTGGGATAGTCCTCATCTTGTGTATCACAACACATTAGGTTCAGCAACTGCCAAGAATCAGAAGGAAATACTGTGAACAACGCCCTTGGCTGAGCAACTGTGCTTTCACTCCAACTGTCCCTGTCACACGAGGTTCTACCTGTTCATAGCACATGCAGGTGCCCTGGAAGAACACAGGGCCTCTTGTCTGCATCATCAGACAGGCCCATGAAATGGCCCAATGCCATTTCATGCTTGCCCCCTTCACCAGGGCAGGACAGGTCAAACCCCTGCCCACTTCCTGTGGCTGCAGGATAAAGAGGCCAAGAGGTATATGGAGGAGGAGTGTGGAGTCCTGCCACAGCAAGTACTCATCCTTACTGCAGCCCTGGTAGCTCTGGCCCCCTCCATCCCTTACCTGGGCACCCCTGCCCCTCTCTGGGCACCTATTCCTCTCTCCTCCACAGATGCTGAGCCTGCTGTTTGTGACTCTCTGCCTTGTGGGGAGCTCTGCTGCTCACCCTCCAGGTGAGTCTTGACCTCCACATCATGCCATCCTTTCCCCAAAGTCCTCTGCAAGCCCTGGCCTCAGGCTCCTGGGATGTGTGCAGCAGGTTGAGGGTTTGCTGTCTCAGCTCAGTCTTCCTGATGCTGCACATATTACTTCTAGCACCGGCCATCGAGAAGGAGCTGGTGGGCATCGTGGGGGGACACAATGCCCCCAAGGGGAAGTGGCCCTGGCAGGTCAGCCTGAAGATGTACAGCTACTACTCATCCGCCTGGGTGCACAGATGTGGTGGCTCCCTCATCCACCCACAATGGGTGCTGACCGCTGCCCACTGCATTCACCAGTGAGTACTGCTCCTGCTGTCCAGTTCTGGGTGGGATGTGGGTTGCTTGGAGGAGGTGTGGGTGAGGACTTGGGGACTGGAGACCCAATTTCTGACTCCACGTGTTTCTACTCAGAAGTTCTGAGCTTTCCTCATGGTGCTCATGGGGATCCTGCAAGGAACTGTTGTTTGTGCTTCTTTCTGACCACAGTAGAAATGCAGACCCATCAACCTACCGCATCCTGGCTGGGGACATATACCTCTATGGGGACCAGAAGCTCTTGAGTGTGAGCCAGATCATTGTCCATCCAGACTTTGTTTATGCTCATTTGGGTGCAGATGTAGCATTGCTACAACTGGCAGAACCTGCGGATTGCTCTGCCAATGTCAAGCCCATCAAGCTGACCTCCTTCAATCATGAGGTCACCCAGAAGGATGAGTGTTGGGTGACGGGGTGGGGTGATCTGAGATATTTTGGTAAGTACTGGAGACACTCCTGATGTGTTCAATGAGGAGCCTCAGCAATTAAGGCCTAGGCAAGACTGGAAATTAGGACTGGGGACAGAAACACTTCATATCATTTGCACAAGAAAAGAGGCTTTTTTGGAAACAGCACACATAGCTCCCTTATTTCTCCAGTTCTTCCACCTGCAGGTGGCGATATCCATGGGAAGAATCTCGAGATCTAGGGGACGTGAGCCAGTGCATTTTGAGTCCCCCACATGGTCTTCCAGAAGGGGAAGTTGAGGATAGGGTTGTTGTGACCTGGATACAAGTGCAGCTGATCTCAAGCCCATCTATGATGCCCCCTCAGGAATAGTCATGTTCCAGTTGGGGATGGCTTGGAGCCTGTGCCATTAGCAATTCTGCCACCTCATGCTCTCCCCCACCCCCAGGATGGCTGCCACCACCCTTCCACCTGCAGCAGGTGAACGTGCAGGTGGTTGAGAACGCTCTCTGTGAGGAGCTGTACCAGAATGCTTCCAGGTATCACCATAAGGATGGAAGGATCATCCAAAATGACATGCTGTGTGCTGGCAGTGAGGGCCGCGACTCCTGCCAGGTGAGTCCCATCTGTCCTTGTCTCTGACCACCACCACCTCCCATTCTTCAGGGCCATTATTCTTCATCTCCTTTCATTCCTAGAGTGACTCTGGTGGCCCACTTGTCTGCAAGAACTCGGGGTCCTGGACCTTGGTGGGAGTGGTCAGCTGGGGCTATGGCTGTGGCTGGCGTGACATTCCTGGCGTATATGCTCGTGTTCAGTCCTATGTGCCCTGGATCAAGCGGCATACTCGGATTTCCTCTTGAGCCTGTTCTACTGGCTTCTTCTGGTCAGCCAAGGAGGAGCCTGCTGCCTTCCTCCCAGCGCCTGGGCCTGCTGCTTCTGCTCCTGCCTGACCCAAGATTCACCTTTTCCTCTGGCATCCTTGGAGTCCTGACTTCCATGAACACTTGCAGGCTGAGGCCCTGTGCCTGACTCTTGCTGTCTGTCCCTGATGGGAGGGTATAAGCTGTGTGAGGCAGGAGCTTGAGCTCCAAGGCACTGGTGCCCGAGTTTGTTTGCACCCAGCTGTTGGAGGACTCCTGGGATATCTCTGCTTTCTGCCTATCCTGAATAAAGGCACTATAAACAATCCTGCTGAGGGTTTTGTGTGAGTAAAAATGGCACTTTCTCTGGTAGGAAAAAACCCTTTGACTACCATCTCAATGCCTCTTTCCAAATGAGGAACCAAGGCCTTAATCCTCCACAGTTGGGGCTCACGTGAGCCCTAGCTCTGCACATGCTAATCCTGTCTCTGAGTCCCACATCCTGTCCTCTACCCTGGGACTAAGGGACAGTTATCAGTTTTACATCTTGTTTTTTAATTTTAAAAATAAAAGGAGGAAAACGTTAACAGACAACCTTTTACAAAATAGCAAAAGAATAGTACAGACAATACAGAGTTACAAACAAAGTGGTAGGAAATTAACAAT